TGATACGATTCCCATAGGAAGTGGACACCCTGTGCGCACACCGGGAAACACTAGTAATAGGTCTTCGTACCGGAAGATGTTGATAGAATGCTTGAAAACGGCCAGATTAACTAATTAGGCTCACTGGCTAACAACTTGATACCCGCCAGAAACCAGGGTGCTTACCCTACTTCATTACATGCATACCGTCAGATTTTGAGTCATTCTGATATATTAAGCCGTAGGTCAGTGTGCAACTCATTTCATCCAACATTTTACGGAAAATGCATTCATTAATCAGATTATGCATTATCTCGGCTTTCATGCGAGTCCAAAAACGCTTTCAGCTAAACTACGACCAAAGATACCGCTTTCATCCCAAAGGTCACTTTTCCATTTTCGGGACAATTCTGAAGCGCAATTTTAATTCCTTAAAACTTCATCATCTGACCTGGAATGCCACTGCTACGCAAGAAGATAGCAATCCAGGCCGTCATATTCTTCCTCTGTAAGGTAATTTCGGTTCCCTCATCGTGGCATCGCATAATGGTAACCACAATAGCCCGTAGCTTAGAGAAACTCATTTGACGAGAAAATTGTCTAAGAGGAACATAGAGGAACGCATATGAAGTAATAATCATGACAAAATTGGTTTTGTGAAAGTTTCATGCATCGACGTTGTCTGAATAAGTATCGACAGTCGCTCAAAGTGGTGTCATAAAAGGACCTTTCCGCACACGAGGTGCATCAAGTTTAAGGACATATCGAATCATTTCTCTGTTTTGACGTCATGAATACCGTTTTTTTTGCCAGTTCTCATTGTAGTATTCCACACATCGTAGCATAGCACTACTGTCGTACATCGTAGCGTCAGAATCGATGTTACGCAGAATACCACGATGAGAACTGGCGTAATAAGCGGTGTTAATAACGATAAGGGAGAGGAATGATTCGCGTAGTCCTGAAACTCCATCCAATTTGTGCGCGGAAAGGTCCATTCTATAACTCCTCTCTCACTGAAAGTCACTCCTGCCAGCTTCTCCGAAAAAAAAAATATTGAACGGATTACATTACAAATGGGTTACAGAAACCAGCAGAGGAAAGTAGGGTAAAGAAGGGGAACAGTAGCATCTCCATTTACGTTTTGGTTTTGCAATGTTGTGTCTCTAAATGTTCTCAACAGCAGCAAAAGGGAACAAGCTAACCCCTGACGGCCTCAAAGAGAGACAGACAGGCTGAACAGGACCAAAAGAGGTTTTCATTGTTTTAAGGAAGCATACTGACAAATGGCTTAAAAAATTGCCTATCTGAATTAATAGTTGACTTTTTTATGTAGGCCACAATCGACACCACACGATGGTTCTAAAGAAAACATTGGCCATATGCCCGCCGGCCAAATGGGGCCATCCGGACATCCCTAGTTTTAATAGATTCGCTATGCTATTATATTCGCATACACACACACACAGTTCATGTTCTGATAAACTCAGGAAAAAGTGGAAAACTTTAGGAACCACTTCTCTGATGAGCCTGAGGTAGGAGAGGAGCCACGTAAACGTTCATGGCGAAGGTTCTCCTCTGACTGGCCTCCTAGCTCAAGCAATTCTGTCACTGGAAGTGCGAAACTTGGAAGGAGTTCGTTGTTCATGACTTGCTTCTGCGAATGGTGTTCTTCGGAAACTCGACTTTTCTTTCCGGTAGAGAAGGAAAAAGTCCGTACTTCCAATGCCAACACGCGAGAAGCCGTTACGTGTCGCGACTACAATTCTCCGTCCTTTTCCTCTTCATGGTTGCCCACACGATGAGGAATTTTGATGTGACGAGGAAATAAAGGCGTACATAAAAACACTTAAAATTAAGAGAAACAGTCATTTGTCCTTGATCGGAGAACGATATCTGCGTGCGTAACATAAATAATTATATAAGTTAATTAGATAAAATCATGTCAACATTCATTTGTTCTCAGAATGAGGTCCAATGGTTGAATATGAAGTTATGAGAAAACCAATTTACAATGGCTTTCTCTTTCTTCAACCCCCCCCCCCCCCCCCCCCCCCCCCCCCCCCCCCCCCCCCCCCCCCCACCACAAGCACCCTACCCCACACCCCACGCCTACACACCACCCTTTCCTCTACAGAACTAACAAACGTCTGATCTTTACCTTACCAACAGACTTCCTTCTGGTCATGCGAACCCCTGCCATTTTCTTTTCAAAAGGAATTAAATACTTAAACGAAGAGGCCTATTACAAGGTCTATAAGGTGAATCCGTGGTCTTGAGATATCTCGTCGAGCAGGTATAACGTTAGGCAAAAAATGCCTGGTAGGCCTATTCATTCTTTCAAGACTAAGGACAGAATTGTACGTCTCTCCATGGTGAAATCACATTCGAGCATTCCAGGCTTTGAACGTCAGGCGTCTTCATGTGTTTCGGCTCTAGCGAGGTTCCTGTCTCGCATGCAATGAATTAAATATTTCTACCCTTTGGATACTCTGTGAGATGAACGTTTACAGCGAGATATGAGATCAGCACGAAGGTTCTCCTCTATCCAGTCAATCTCCACCTTTCAGCAATGCTGAGGGGGAAGAGACTTCTGGAACGTGAGTCGCCTTCTTCATGGGTTGAGGAATATTCGAGGGAGAAGTGTGCTTTCCTTGCAGAGAAGATATACTGCGAACCTTGGCACACATGAAGTGCCATAGTTTCCATTTATTTCATTTCATATGTGCTTTCTCCGCGCAACGCGGATCTTGACGAGGATCTCGTTCTGGAACTCAATGATTCACTAACGTGTCCCTTTATCTCTTCGTGCGGTTCTGCTCCATTTGCAGTCAAGTTTTTAAGGCGCTCCGTCAGAGAACGCCGAATAACTCAAAACCAAAACAGGGGAGAACCAACGTTTATTTCTGATCAATTGAACGTTTCCACATGGAAAGTTACCGTCGGCGATCAAATTCATCCATTCCTGATTTCATTCGAGATGAAGCTGGTGAAGTCCGACACATTTGTGAATGCATCATGATAGGTCCCACAAGATTCCCATACTATTGCGTATACGCCGATGACGTAGGCTACGCCGTTCTTGTATACTACCAGAGGCCCTCCACTGTCTCCCTGCAAGGAAGACTTGTCCTTACTTCGAGCAAATGTTTTGCAACTCCATTCGAACTTTACACGCACTTGAGTCTCAAAAAACGATTAAAATGAAATTTTGTTTTGCAAAAATCGATCAAAACTAAAAGTGATCACTCACAAAGCAGCCTCCAGTCCCCGTGGAGACACCCTTGGCGCAGATGAGCCCTTTGTTGTAGTCAACACGACAGTTTTCCTTGGGAAAGACTTTCGCGTCCAGTTTCTGCAAGATGTTGGAACGAACGATGGGATTCTGTGAAGTGTAACCCCATCCGAACATTTTCATGGTGCATGCTTGGGCATCGTACACGCTGTCGGACCACGGGATGCAGATCGGCTGAACGGTGGGTGAGAAGGACAGGGACTAGCGAAGCCGTTTCACTCCGATGTCGTTGCGGAGAGTGAGGGCCGATTCATCTGACGAAAAGGAGATGCATCAATGAAAATATGCATGGGATGCGTTTGTAAATATACCGATTATTCTCGTGTTAAAAAAGTTTGATGTGTGCACCACCTTTACCCGAAGAACTCTTATTTTGCAGTCTGATCCACTGCAGTATCAGTCTTCCATAAAGACTTATATTCCCGCTTCCTTTTTTTCTCGATCTATGCAGCGGATCACAGTCAGGGTCATGACATCGCCGTGATTAAGCTGAACAAGACTCTGAGCTTCTGGACCAGAAGTAGATGTGTTTTGCACACCTTATGTCTTTGGTATTGTGGCAGCTTGGTACTCACAAGCGGTATGCAAAAAGGAGAAGGTTTCCTCATGAGAAATCTATATTTTCCATGAAAATGTACGTTAGCAGTAAAATTGAAAGATGATCTGGATATCTTAACCGTCCTATTTGTTGCTTCATCGCTGTCTTCTCCTTCGTATGAGCTTATGCAAGATCCTAGCCATTGATATTTTTCAGATTGTGACTCTTGGCCGACATTATTCTTCCTCTTAAACAGGCAGGAGAAATCAGTTAGTAGCATTCTAAAATGTCCGGTAAAATTCTACTGTAGAGGCAGACCATCGGTCCCTGGTGGTTTTTCCTCTGGAAAATGGCTTTCCCAGAATTTCGTTAAATTCGCTCGTCTTGAAATCCAAGTCAAATCCTGAACAGTCCTTAGCTAGCTATTCCGAAGGTTATCAATCTCTTTGGTGAAGATTCTTAGAGGCCTATTACGAGGTCTATAAGGGTGAATCCATGGTCTTAAGATATCTCATCGAACAGGTATAACGTTAGGCCAGAAAGGCCTGGTAGGCCAATTCATAACTTCAAGACTGAGGACAGAAATGTAGGTCTCTCCATGGTGAAATCACATTCGAGCATTCCAGGCTTTGAACGTCTACCGTCTTCAATGTGTTTCGGTTCTAACGAGGTTCCTGTCTAGATTGCAAAAAATTAGGTATTGCTCCCCTTTGGAAACTTTGTGTGATGAACGTTAACAGCGAGATGTCTGATTAGCACGAAGGTTCTCCTCTATCCAGCCAACCTCCATCTTTGGGCAATGATGACGGGGAAGAGACTTCTGGAACGTGAGTCGCCTTTTTCATGGGTTGAGGAATATTCGATGGAGAAGTGTGCTTTCCTTGCACAGAGAAGATATACTGTACTGCGAACCTTGCAACAGATGAAGTGCCATAGTTTCCATATTTTTCATTTCGTATGTGCTATGTCCGCGGAATGCGGATCTTGACGGGGATCTCGTTCTGGAATTCAATTATTCACTAACGTGTCCCTTTATCTCTTCGTGCGGTTCTGCTCCATTTGCAGTCAAGTTTTTAAGGCGCTCCGTCAGAGAACGCCGAATAACTCAAAACCAAAACAGGGGAGAACCAACTTTTATTCTTATCAATTGAACGTGTCCACATGGAAAGTTACCGTCGGCGATCAAATTCATCCATTCCTGATTTCATTCGAGATGAAGCTGGTGAAGTCCGACACATGTGTGAATGCATCATGATAGGTCCCACAAGGTTCCCATACTATTGCGTACACGCCGATGACGTAGGCTATTCCGTCCTTGTATACAACCAGAGGCCCTCCACTGTCTCCCTGCAAGGAAGACTTGTCCTTACTTCGAGCAAATGTTTTGCAACTCCATTCGAACTTTACACGCACTTGAGTCTCAAAAAACGATTAGAATGAAATTTTGTTTTGCAAAAATCGATCAAAACCAAAAGTGATCACTCACAAAGCAGCCTCCAGTCCCCGTGGAGACACCCTTGGCGCAGATGAGCCCTTTGTTGTAGTCAACACGACAATTTTCCTTGGGAAAGACTTTCGCGTCCAGTTTCTGCAAGATGTTGGAACGAACGATGGGATTCTGGGAAGTGTAACCCCATCCGAACATTTTCGTGGTGCATGCTTGGGCATCGTACACGATGTCGGACCGCGGGATGCAGATCGGCTGAACGGTGGGTGAGAAGCGCAGGGACTGGCGAAGCCTTATCACTGCAATGTCGTTGCCGAGAGTGAGGGCCGATTCATCTGACAGAAAGGAGATGCGTCTATGAAAATCTGCATGGGATGCGTTTGTAAATATACCGATTATTCTCGTGTTAAAATAGTTTGATGGGTGCACCACCTTTGCCCGAAAGAACTCTTATTTTGCAGTCTGATCCACTGCACTCTCAGTCTTCTTTTATTTCAAAGCATAAAACAATCGTTAAAATGACTGAAACAATAAACTAATCAAAAGCCCCCAAGAATTCCCGACTTTTGAGGAGCTGAAAACAGGTTGCGTCTATGAACTCTAAACGTTTCAACTCGTTGAAATACTCGCACCTTTTCAATAATTTGGTGTAAGATCCCTAAATCAACTGGGCTATGGTATACCAGAAACAAACCAGCAAGAGGTCTCCCCGAAGACATTGCAGAAACACAAATCTTGCCTTTTATCGAGACGGTGGTTGCATAGGTTGTTACAGGACTCACTAAAAGAAGGATGGGGGCGCCAGAACGAAGCATTGAATCTTGTTGCGCTTGTGTAGTCCGAGTTTCCGTCACCGCCACAGAACTTGCCCATATGCCCCTTCATTGGGAAACATCAGATAAAACAAAGGATCTCGTGCATCAAACAACCTTTAAGCGACCAGAGTAGTGAAGTATTAGAAGTGGAAGAAAGTGTTATTCTCTTTAACCGTGTACTTTCCACAGCATCTCTTGTTGGAGTAGATGAACCTGCTTTGACTCACCAAATAAGTTTTTTTTTTCGAGAGGTTTCTTTCACCTTGAATTGTTTTTTTTTTTCAGTCGCATGTCTCTATCGCGCGGAATAATGGACCAAAAATTCCCATTGATAACATTACTTCCTATCCTGATCCGTTGATGGGCCGATTCCGTTTCTGCTGCTAGGGAATATCTCCGATGATCCGCAAGTCCAATTCCTTACTGTTATTCGTTGTCCCCTTCACTTACAGGCAACTCCATGCCCTCTATTTTGAAGCAGACGAGTTTTTGGCAAGTCTTAATTTCGCGCAAAAACTGACCCCTTCTCCACGCAGTGAGCAGCAGTCAGGACATGACTATCGTCGATGATAGAGCCCGTACAATAATATAGTTTTCCAGAATGAACCGATTCAACGTGGGCCAGCCAAGGCGCTTCCGCGATGGTGGCCGGGGTCCCTCCAATGATCAATCCTCCTTGTCTCCCCTCTGGCTCGGCATTCAGCCATTGCAATCCGAAGACCTCCAGGAACCACCTGAACCAGCTTGTGGACGTAGACGCTCTTGACAGGTTAGAGCGTCCACAGGAGCCATCAACTAGAAGGGAGGATGAGACAACTACAACTATTGTAACCATGAATGACACCAGCAGGACACATACGAAATGATGCTCTCAAATATACTACGAGCTGAGATGGACAGAGCGTATGAGAGCGACGACAAACCTCCATGGAATGTCGCTCATTACATTGTTCCCCGGGATAACGGAGACTTTTATCCATAATGCACAATTTCAAAGATGTTATGGCAGCCCATTGTTTTTTGCGTTGAATAACGATGATAACCAAATATAAGGTTGACCCTTCTATTTGGTTATCATCGTTATTCAACGCAAGAAAATAATTCGTACCTCATCAGTTCCAGATAAAAGGTAGAGACGAAAAATTCGATGGTGGCAATCAACAAGAATTAATCTAGGAATCAGACGAGGACTCACGGTATAGTGCTCTGGATGTTGTGAATTTGCTACAGTCCGGGGGAATCCGAGTTGTAGTAGGTGCAGCTGGTGGAGGTATTGTTGTCTCGGTGTTTTTGCCCCATCCTTGAAGACTCTCTTCGGGTAGAACAAGGAATAGGGCAATGGCTGCGAGATATCCGTTCATGGCGAAGGCTCTCCTCTTACTAAGCTCAAAAGGTTTGGTGGGAAGGATGGTGCGTCTCCTACGTGCCGCGACTGCCATTATTCGTCCTTTTCCTCTTCATGGTTGTCCACACGATAAGGATAGTTCTTGTGACAATGAGGAAAAAGACGTACCAAATTATTCTGCGATTAAGAGAAAGAGTCATTCCTTCTCCGTGGGAGAACGATATCTTCGTGCATGCGACCAACAATGAGATATGTAAGGTAGGCCATAAGATCAGACTATTATCTGCGCTCCAACTTCTTCAAATCTCAGTAAACTAGGCTACAAAGCGGCCCAAAATACACGCATACATCAAGAGGGTTTAAAGCCAGATGCGTATTTCCCTCTATCTTTCCGTCTATCAGTTTTCGACCAATAAATAAGCCATTAACTTCGTAATCATGCATTCGAAGAATGCTCGATTTCTGTAACGGTCATAAAATCATGTCAATATCCATTTGTTCTCATAATGAGGTCCTATGATTGAACATGAATCACTCTAAAAACAAATATATATTTTTTCATCTTACATGAGTTCCTCGGAAGGAAGCAGGGGAAAACATTGCAATCAGACCCAGCCAAATCGTTCGTTTGCCTCCATTATTGCGTGAGAGATGAAAGCATCAGATTCCATCTATCGACTTTCTGCAATCAGCAATCGCATTATCTCACGTTTGCCTCATTCACCAAGGAACAATGAGATCGATTGTGACTACCGATTCATCTATAACATTTTATCTGCGATTGACAGCCTTAAATTCTTCATCTCGGAAAAGGCCGCATTTCTTGAATCAGGTGAGTTTTTCATTGAGATTTGATTTTCACAATTTAAATAACGCTCACCATCAAAAACATTATATTAGTCGTTAGAATGTTGTTTCTTCGTCCTTGAGGAATGTCAGAGTATTGATGGCTTTGGATATGGCTATGCAAGATTCCATCTAGTTATTTAGCTACAGCTCATGTCCACCCTGAATCAAAGGACCCTCTGCGGCATCATCCTGGACGATAATCGGGATACTCGATTTAAAAAATTATAATAATAGAAAGAAATTAGACTCAACATTTCGAATCGGAGAAAATTATTTGTTTTTTTCCCCTTTTCTACCAGCTTATTGAAATCCCGAAAAAGATCAGTGCAAAATATTGTGAAGCAGGAAAGCTAAAGATACGAGGGCCGTTCAAAAAGTTTTTTACCTGAGGCACTTTAAGTCGTAATACGCCATTCATATTTTTTTCATAGAAAGAGAGATGTCTTTGATGATGGATGGAAAATTTTCAAGTTATTTGTCTATGATAGAAAGTTTCTATGATATTTTTTCAATGTGTTACCAAACGGTATGCTGAAGGGATATTAAAACTGAAACAAATGCTGTGATGAATTTTCTAACCTTGAAGGAGTCGGTTTCTCAGCAGATCTTTTGTCGGCTGAGAGGATACCGTTTTATTGACCCTACTCTGCAAGAACCAAGAAGGAAAATGACTCCTTCAAGGTTAGGAAATTCATAGCAGCATTCTTTTCATTTTTAATACCCCTTCAGCAGACTCCTCGGTAGCACATTGAAAAAAATTCATAGAAGCTCTCCATCATAGACAAATAAGTTGAAATTTTTCCATTCATCATCAAAGACATCTCTCTTTCTATGAAAAAAATATGAATGGCGTATTACGACCTAAAGTGCCTCAGGTAAAGAAACTTTTTGAACGCCCCTCGTACATGATTCTTTCCTCAACGTATTCGAAATCGCGAACACGATAGCTATTGCGAAAATCCTTGAAATTTCTTTTCCTCGTTCGTCTTTCCTCCTTCTCTGGGCTGACTTTGCATATTCAGGTTTTTTCTCATTGGAGGAGAAAGTGAGGACCCCATTTTCCGAGGATTCTCTCCTCATTGTCGAAACATCGCACGTACCGATGCGAAGCTTCCCTCAGGCCTCCCTCGCACATCAGAACTACTTCTGCTGGGGAACGAGGAAGACGAAACGCTCCGCCATGAAAGGATACTTGGCTTTCATCGCTCTTCTCCTGGCCCAACCCGAGGAGAGTCACCAGGGATCGAGCAGCAATCCTGGCCCGTCCTGCAGTCAATACACAACAAACACGCCGCTGCTTCGTGAGTCGTTTCTTTCCTCTTCGCATGTCCACGATTAATAGTATTGCCTACCGGTAAAAGGTAGTAAAATGTCATTCTTAGGAACTTTGACTCTCAATCGTACCTATCGATCGGGGTGTTCCTTCATCCCAATTATGATGATATCAGAGAGGAAGGTTCATTCAGTTTTTTTTTTTATTTCCCTGGAACATCTATATAGAGACTTACGCAAAGGACTTTCAGAACTCCAATTTCGATGGTCAGGCCTAATAACGATAGTTTAAAAAAGGACATACCCATTCAGGAATACGGGCATCCCCCTGATATTTCTTCTTTCCACCACGCTGCCGATTAATTTGGATCAGGTCTTACGTCTTACGAAAACATTGGCAGACGTGTGAGTGATTAAATGGAAATGTTGAGTGACAATCCGTTTACATGGTCTTCATGCGTGCCCAACCTTCCAGTTGCGAATCAATGCGGACGATGGAACGTGCGCAGATCATCCAGCTCCAGCAGCTGGTTCGCAAGATTCCTGGAGATCTTCCGATTGCCAGCGGAAGACATTCAGGAAGACCCCCTGATCATCGGCGGATCCCCTGCCACCATCGTGGAAGCGCCGTGGCTCACTTTTGTTTCTGCTACGATCTCCGGCAAATCGTACTCCTGCACTGGCTCTATCATCGACCAACTCCATGTTTTGACTGCTGCTCATTGCTTTTTTGACGGGTTAGTTTGAATACCATTTAAAGACACAACATTACGTTTTAATTTCTATTGCGAAGATTTCGCTTCAACTTCGAAAGTGATCATCCATATTCGAGAAGTGCGCGGAACATGACGTTTAGTTATGAACGTTGCGGAAATCATTCGAGAAGGAAAGTTTGCAGACGTTTGCATCTTACAACCACGTCAGTTCAAAGCCAAATGAAGTGAAGTTAAATGAAAATGAGTTTTCATGCACAAAGAATGAATATTTTCTCCTTTATTGCCCCTGACATCAATTGCAGTCATTCATAAAGTATTCATTTCATGTTTGACATCCTCTTCTCGTTTTACTTTCTTCCATCAAGATCCATTTCGGCAACCGGTGCAAGTGTCTTAGTCGGGAACGCAAATTACCAACTGGGAACGAGGTTTTACGCCAAGGACGTATATATCCATCCCTCCTATAACAAGGGTGAGTTGAAAAAATATTCCATTTTTTCATGTACGGGTTTTCAAAAACGATTTCTGTCATTCAAGATGGTAAACTCCTCCTGGAAATTCTGTATAGCTGGAGTTTTAGGAGTGAGACGAAAGCATTTCTCTGCTTACCATCGTCCCATAATTTCTCATTAATACCTTTAGACCTAATTTGTGGAATGCCATTTTTTTGTCCCCAAAATGTCCCGAAGATTTGATGTAAACAGGAATCTCGTATCGTTCAATTCAATTTCCCTAAAGACTTATGTTCCCGCTTCCTTTTTTTCTCGATCTATGCAGCGGATCACAGTCAGGGTCATGACATCGCCGTGATTAAGCTGAACAAGACTCTGAGCTTCTCGCCCTCCGTCCAACCGATATGCGTCCCGCAGTCCGACAGTCTGAGCGATGCAGGAGCTTGTCCCACCAGAGTTTTCGGATGGGGTCGCACCACTGAAACTCCAGCCGTTCGTCCCCTGAATCTGCAGAAACTGGATGTCACGGTTCTTTCGAAGGAAGAATGCTCCAGCTATAATAAGGGGTTCATATGTGTGCAGGGAGTCAAATCGGGGACAGGAACATGCTTTGTGAGTTCCCTCGATTTTTTCATTTTTTTTTAAGTCGCTTGCGTCGAGGAGTATGGAACTGAACCGACCTCATTCGTAACATAAGAAAAATTCATGTTTTTTATTTCCACATCGTTGCAGGGAGATAGCGGAGGACCTACGGTCGTGTATGCGAACAACTTAGCCTACGTCATGGGAGTGGATTCGCACCACATTGGTTCGTGTGCACAATATCCAACCCGATATACTTGGGTCACAGCCAATATCAACTTCATCACTGATGCTGTCAATAGCTAGTGATTTGAATTTTTCGACTGGAGTTTTTCTATAGAAATCCTTGCCGTACATCCGAATAAATCGAATTTTTCGATCCTTTGATCCTGATGATTCACAGGGACAAAAGTGGTGCTGACCATTTTTGAAGAAAATAAATATTTCAGACTAACATGGGACTAAGCAAGATGGGGGAAGTTTGATCAAGGGGCTAGAAAGAACGAAAATACATCAACTCCTGGACCAGAAGTAGATGTGTTTTGCACACCTTATGTCTTTGGTATTGTGGCAGCTTGGTACTCACAAGCGGTATGCAAAAAGGAGAAGGTTTCCTCATGAGAAATCTATATTTTCCATGAAAATGTTTTCATGCAAATATGGGATAAAAAAAAAGGTTTCTAGGGGAAAATTTGAATCACAAACTCATCAGTATCTCTGAAGTGCTATCGGAAGGAGAGGAAAAAAAACGATGACTATGAACAGTTCCTCGTTCCACACGAAGTCGTCCCCGACTCGACTGCATTGAGTCCTTCCTTGGGGGGAGAACGAGCCGTACCGTCCTGGAGCATGATCTCGAGGGAAGTAGAAGGAATTTCGTCGACGAGTCAGACTATTTCATTTCAAAGCTGTGCAATACATTCGATAACCAAACAATGAAAATGTTTCTTAATGGCAGACGATGCAGTCAAGCTTTCCCTGCCAGCATCATGAAAAAGGCAGACACAATATCAATAGTTCGACACTAGTTCCGTTGAAAATTTTTCTGATAAAATAATTGACTGTTCAATAAAACTAATTATGCAATATTGATTGATAACTTTTCATTGTTATATATTCATTGATATATTTTCATTAAAAAAAATTCTCAATGAAATACAACAACACATATTCCGAATTACGAAACGAAGGCACGAGAGTTTCCTACTTACTCGCGAGGGAGCGGTGGCATCGCTTACTGTATTGGCGAGCGCCTGCTGCCGGGAATACAGGGACTATAAGGGTCCATGATGATCAACGAAGCAGAAGAGTTAATCAAAGGTTGTATTTTCTTTCCCCGTATCGCAGTCACATCGGTTGATGACAAAACAATTTAAAGTACTATATATATTATATGGGAGCGATCGTTAGCAGTAAAATTGAAAGATGATCTGGATATCTTAACCGTCCTATTTGTTGCTTCATCGCTGTCTTCTCCTTCGTATGAGCTTATGCAAGATCCTAGCCATTGATATTTTTCAGATTGTGACTCCGGGCCGAGCGACTATAGAATGCCTGTACGCGTGTGTGTGACCGGTCTACAGGAAAAACGCTGAGATAAATAAACATGTGGTTTCCACAGAACTCTTCCTTACTATCGAGGATTTATCTTTTGGAAATAAAATTTACGAATCGGCCATACGAAAGGGGAGTCAATTTTCATTGGAATTCGGAGATTAGCCCTCGTCACGTTATTTTTGGTATGAACTTGGAAATGAGTGTTGAGGTGGTTCAATAAAGGGAATACTAGCATCGCTGTCTCTTCAGTGTGTCCCGCCTGCTGTCGTGAATCCAAGGATTTCAAGGGTCCATTGTGAAATGCAGGGCGATTCTTCAGCTTGTAGCCGCAGGAGTCCCCACGGGCGAAAAAAATAAGGTGATTTGAAAATCTTCGCTTTGCTGTGCATTGCTTGTTATCCTGTACTTTCCTTTTCTTCTCCTTCTTTCGCAATCACTTCCTTTGCTCCATTCGCACGATCGGGTGCCGAGGAAAATCACGGGTCCAATGAAACCTGCTGGCTAAATACATTTGACATCGCCCAAGTAACGCATTTGCGCTTTCGAGAACGTTCAACGTGCTTTCAGAAAGATATTTAGACTACCAATGCGCAATAATGAGCAACTTTAGATGAAGTGCCTTTGACCACGTAACATTCCGCATTTGAAGGACATTTGTCGCACGTTTAAGATGTTTTCTTAACGCACATGAATGGAATCCAACTGACAATAACTTAAAGGAAAGGTTCGCACCATCCACGCGAAATGGCCCAAAGGTAGTCCGTAAAACGGAGAGGCGTACTGACAAATGGCTTCCAATGTTGCCAATCTGAATTAACAGTTGATTTTTTTCTGCAGGCGAACAATCGACACCGCCCGATGGTTGTAAGGAAAACATTGACCCATAGTGGAAAACCATAGGAACAACTTCTCTAAGGAGCCTAAGGTAGAAAGATTCAATCTGTGAAGTATCAAATTGTATGACTTGACTTAAATGCGCGTGCGAAGAGCCTGAATAGGTCTTCCTCACATGTATAATCGTAGTTGATAAGGAATGAATAACATTCCCTGAACTTCGTACTATGATGAGTCAAGGCATTTACAAATAGTATTTTCCTTCGCATTGGCGATGATTGGCACAGGGATTCCATCCAAAAAATAAGAAACGACTCAAGAAATAGCGGCGGAGTCGATGCGAATCGGCTGCAAGGCGAGGGAGCGGAAGTAGCAATGCTAGTAGTAGGAGTTGATGTTGTTTTCGTTGTATCCGTTGTCTCAATCGATGTTTTTCTCGTAGTTGGCGTATTCGCGATCCATTTCTGAAGACTCTCCCCTGGGTCAGCTATACGAATGGTAAGGCATTCGGGATGGGAATTCGGAGATTAGCTCTCGTCTCGCCATCTTTCGTAAGAACATGGAAATAAAAGTTGCCGTGGTTCAATGAAGGGAATACTGGCATCGCTGTCTCTTCAGTGTGTACCACCTACTGTCGTGAATCCATGGATTTCAAGGGTCCATTATGATCTACAGGGCGTTTCCTCAGCTCGTCGCCACATGCGTCCACACGGGCGAAAAAAATAATAAAGTGATTTGCGGATCGTCGCTGTGCTGTGCATTGCTTGTTACCCCCTAAGCAGCATGTTTACGTAAACAAGATATCAATTCCTTGCAAACAATGTAAATTTTTTGCGATTGCCATGAAAATGACATCACGTTTACGTAAAATTCACGTTCCCATATTTACGTCACTAAAGTATACGTGTATTTTACATAAACTAGACGTCACTCCAGTTGACTTGAAATACATGATATCAAGTTTATGCAAAATTAACGCCACACCATCCATATGAAACATTAACTGACCATCCCGCAGCAGCAGTATCAAGATTCCTCACTAGATGGAACCCTGGTTTCCTGCTCCGACAAATACTATTAAGTTCTGGCTTTCCTGATAGAATATTAGATTTTCTTACCATCCTTTCACTTTGTATTATGCAATCCATGAATATATATAAGGAAATCATGAAATTATTATATGTATTTTATAATATATGACTCAGGGAATCATTAAATGCTGAAGTTAAGCTTTTATTACAGCAGTGCACGGAATTAGGGAAGAGTAGAATCCCAGCTCTACAAGTACTAAATCTTCTCTACCCTACATGGGAGAGAGCTCCTTGAACATCTATTCCTCCTCCCGAGGTTCCAGTACGGGAGGAGGAAGTGGTTGGTTGTTTTGGTACTCTTGAGTGCTGATGAGGATGAGTGTACTCATCAAACCACCCTCGAGTTCTGAAGTATGGGAAGGAATAGGAGACACAGTATATCAATTCTTTTCAAAGGTGCCGATTGGCTCGTTAAAGACATATGAATGCTAGAGGGAAATTAACATAAATCTTACGTAAAATCAACGTAAAAATACGGCTAGGAATGCAAACGAGCATGTCAATTTTACCTAAAATTGACGTTAATTTTATATCATCGTTTGCATATCACAGAGGTGACATTTATGCAAACATCTTAGCATTATCTTGACAATGGTTTGCGTGAAAATGATATAAAATGGACAAAAATTTTCCATTCAGTTTGCGTAAAATTAACATAAACATGCTTTTTGGGCCTGTACTTTCTTTTTCTTCGCCTCCTTTGGCAATCACTTCCTTCGCTCCATTCGCACGATCGGGTGCCGAGGAAAATAACGGATCCAATGAAACCTGCATTTGAAGGACATTTGTCGCACGTTTAAGATGTTTTCTTAACGCACATGAATGGAATCCAACTGACAATAACTTAAAGCAAAGGTTCGCACCATCCACGCGAGATGGCGCAAAGGTAGTCCGTAAAACATGTCATTTCCTGATATATCTGGATACGTTCCTGTTATACCTCCCACAACATCTCTCTCCACATAAACTAGAAAGGAAGTACTTGCATTCGTGAGCAAATCGGTCTTTAGGGGTAACAGTCCAAAGAGTCTACAGAGAACTCTGTCTCGAAAGATCGAATGAGGAGGGTTCAAGGTGGTTTCTCGGGGAAGAGAATGAAACGATGAAAATGAAAATACACATCGTCATCTCTACTTTGCAAGGCAATTCAGTGGTTGGGTTGTATGGCTACTGAAAATGAGGTAACGATATATGATGATCTTTTCAGTATGACTAAATTCTCCTAATGTGTCTCTACTAGACTATACCAAAGAATTGAAGATTGAACCTTCGACCGGACAAATCAACTACTCTATGGTTAATAACGCTACCCGCTGAAGCAGGGCTCTACCTGGACTGAATGCAATGTAAGTGATGAAAAGAATGTATCCAAAACGTTAATTGTACATTGGATAAATCCTAATGCAAATAGTTTTATTGAACCCAGTTCTGGGAAGTATGAAATTCACATCCTTGAAAATTTCACTAAAATCAAGGAACGCATAATTTGAACTGTTTTTCATTGCGTCTCCACGTTTTAGGCATGACTCAATTTCATTATTTCTGCATACTGCTACGTCATCTGCGACCCAACAGTTGTCAATTGCCCATCCAACGTTCTGGTAACGTCAACGAACCGCCAATTCGTCCCGATTTCAGAATTGCCTTCATTTCATATAAGCAGCAGTTTTTCTCGTGGGAAAATAGCGCTCATTTCACCCATTCGTGACTTCGGTGGAGATGAAGTCGACGTTCGCGGTGTCCCAAATATAACGGGAAGGATATTGTGCACAGGAGCCTTGATGATACGAGTCCACTCCCATGACGTCGGCCAAGCTGCCGACGTACACGACAAGACGTCCTCCGCTGTCTCCCTGCAACGATGTGGAGAAACGAATGCGGATTATTTGGTCATATTGGATTATCATTTTTTTTTCAATTTCCATCGCTTCTCCACCAAAACTAAAATAACATCTGGGAAAGAAACGGAATAAGTCGCAAAGAAGGTTCTCGACTCTGATGGGACCCCCCCGCACGCAAATGACGCCATAGCTGAATTGACTGAGACTCGCCTTCTTCGAAAGAACGGTCACTTCCAATTTCTGCACGACCAGAGACCGGAGTGCAGGAGTTTCGGTGGTGCGGCCCCATCCGAAAATTTTCGCGGGACAAGCTCCGGCATCGCACAGGCTGTTGGACTTCGGCACGCAGATCGGTTGAACGGAGGGCGAGATGATCAGGGCCTGGTTCAGCTTGATCACGGCGATGTCGTGCCCTTTTGCGAAGTCAGCTGCGGATGATCAAGAATAAATCAAAACAGAAACAGTTGCATCCACGGCCTAGGGATTAAAAGTAAAATAACGTTCTTTGCCCTCGAGTTTTCGGCATCAGCACTTCACACATTCAAATAATTTCCTCCATTCGAAAATATGAGAAGCCGTCACAAAGACACGACAGATCGTTAATAGGTGCAGCTGTGCCAATTCCCATTCTTCAACGTCTCCCGTCACGAAGTTCGACCTCCGCACAGTCGAGCCTTGAAATTCGGACGAGACAGTACGTTATCTTGGACTTAGGTTTGCAACTTATCATGTTCCTTAACTCCGAGTTACCGAAGATGACTCATTACGCAAGTAGTATTTCCAATTAGAAACAAAGTTTTCCTTTCACTCACCGTTGTCAAAAGACGTATGAAGATGCCAGGAAGCTGCTGTATAACTTGTTCCCAGTTTATTTTCGTTTCCGAGTCTGACACTGACTGCGCTTCCCAAAGTAATCCTTCATTAAATAAAAAAAAACAGGGATGGGATCAGATATAATACGGAAGAAGTTATATACCAGATGGCCAATTAAATCCCTTGTGCCTGACGCCTTATAATATCCGTTGTGGATGATCTAGGCTCGCGATTTTTACATATAACGTAGTAATCATGACAAAATTTGTATATTGAAGGTTTCATACATCGACGTTGTCTGAGTAAGTATAGACAGTCGCTCAAAGTGGTGTCATAAAAGGTCCTTTCCGATCACGAGCTGCATCAAGTTCAAGGACTTATCTCTGCTGTGACGTCATGAATACCGCTTCTTTTGCCAGTTCTCATTGTAGGGTATTCCACACATCGTAGCATAGCACGACTGTCGTACATCGTAGCGTCCGAATCGATACTGCGCAGAGTACTCCGATGAGGACTGGCGTAGGAAGCGGTATTAATAACGTCAAGAGAGAGGAATGATTCGTGTAGTCCTGAAACTCCATCCAGTTTGTGCGCGGAAAGGTATATTCTATGACTCCTCTCTCACTGAAAGCCACTCCTGCCAGCTTCTCCCAAGCAAATATATCGATTAGATTTCATCACAAACGGATTAGAGAAACTAGAAGCGGAAAGTAGGGCAAGGAACGGGGAACAGGACCAAAAGAGGTTTCCATTGTTTCAAGGAAGCATACTGACAAATGCTGAAAATATGGCCTATCTGAATTAATAGTTGATTTTTCTGTAGGGCACAATCGACACCGCCCGATGGTTCTAAGGATAATGTTGGCCATGTGCCAACTCGCCAAATGGTGTCATCGGGACAGCCCTAGTTTTGATATTAATAGATTCGCTATGCTATTAGATTCGCCTATACACAGTTCATGTTTTGATAAAACTTAGGAAAAAGTGAAAAACCTTAGGAAAAGCTAACCTAATGAGCCTGAGGTCCCTCCAATTTCCATTGCTTCTCATTTCCATTGCATAAGGTTGAACAGCAACAGGCAGCGAATGCTGAGCTCAGGAATAGGAAAGCCATGCAGCCTACTGGGCAACTTGATACAAGGAACGCAACACTCAGGTGTCGAAAGCTGTGGGGCGGACCGGGAATTGAACCCGGACCTCTTGCTTGCCGGTCAGGTGTGCTACCCTTACACCATGGAATTCGGAACACTTTGTCAGGCCTCTCCATGTCATCTCGAATCACTACAGTCGTTTGGGCAGCGAGCACTGTCAGGCTGAACATTTTGCTGTAGGGAGGGAAGATTTGTTTCACATTGCAGCCACAACGGAAAAGTGCTTCTGCTGCAACACACACTTAACGCTCACACTGTTGTTCACTGGTGCTAATGTGGAGGCGAGGAATTATTCGTTAGTATTCTGCTGCACATGCGCTAAATTTCCTCCGTGCTAAAGTCGAACAAGTTCTTGGAAATAGGCCGTACTGTTTCAGTTTCAGTGTTACCTGCACCATAAGCTAATACTAATAACCCATAAGTTAGTCGATGATGAAAGAGTATTACATGTGTTGGGGAGAAGTTGTGATGGTGGTTATCACCGCAACGCGCGAGGCCTACGAGACTAGATCACTTTAGGCCATAGGCTAGGCCATCCACAACTCAAAGCGCCATGTCCATGGGGCTATGCTATACTAGGCCAAAAGCTTGGCCATCCAACGCACTTAGCGCCAGGTCCATCGGGCTATATCAGTATGAGCCATAGGCATTGGCTCATTCTAATATTTCCATAGGCTTCATACTTAATAGCACCCTTTGCTTAACACAGCTAACTGAATGCGTGCCACGTTTTCACTGATCGCATGCAAGTTCATCTGAAAACATTCTGTGCTGAGGTGTTTTTTTCTGTATTTATTTATTTTTCCATTAGGTCAGACGTGGCGGTTCGCGCCATCGCTTCCATGCAATAGTTTTTTTGTTTGCGTTTCATGTCATGACGAAATCATCAAAGTCGTCTTGAGTCTCATGAAAGCGTGTTAAACCGTTCATAATGAACGATTGTGTCGATCAGCCGGAATATCATGATGATGGTGTTTAGGAACAGAATCTCCCAGAAAATATGATGAAGCGGCTCAGTTCCGAATGGGTAATGCGATGAACAGAGGATTGTCAAGGAGACGTTATGCTCACAATAGACGATTCAAATTTCCACCTAATTGGACGGCCAGCGTAGCGGCCACAGGCCGCTAATATGCTATGCTACGATGTGTGGAATACTACAATGAGAACTGGCAAAAGAAGCGGTATTCATGACGTCACAGCAGAGATAAGTCCTTGAACTTGATGCAGTTCGTGATCGGAAAGGACCTTTTATGACACCACTTTGAGCGACTGTCAACACTTATTCAGACAAAGTCGGATGAGGATGGCATGGAGAGGCTTGACTGGATGTTCCGGGTTCGGTGGTGTAGTGGTAGCGCAACTAACCTGCATTCAGGAAGCCTGGGTTCAATTCCCCGCCGTTCCTTGGCTTTCTTTCGGCCTCTCACGCCTTCCAAGTCCCGTTACTGATTCCCCCTCCGTAACAGTACTTTGCTTGGTTAAAACAGAGACAAGGAAAGCTGTAACTTGGCATGGACGTGCCTACCGAGACAATGAGTTCAGGAAAAAGGTAAAATTTTAGATCCATCCCATGGGGACATATTTTCGGGGGCCAACGTTTTCAAGTAATTTTTTTACTGGCGTATTGAGCAAGTTTGGAAAGATGAAACTTGGTACATAACTGCCTATTGGGCTGCTGCGTGCAGAAAAATTCAGACTTTGGAAGTAAATGCCCCGGGGGGCACAAATTTCAAAGGGAGATGTTTTCAAGTAATTTATTTGCATCAGTTAAACTGGTGAACATGGAAACCTGAAACTTTACATAAATGTGACTACTGAGACAAGGAGTTAAATAAAATGTTAAGTCTCGATACATCCCCTGGGGTAATTTTTTCGTGGGGTGATGTCTAAAAAAAATGTTGTGGCGAGTTGGACAGAAATGGAAAGGTGAAACTTGACACACGATATGTGACATGATATTATTGAGTTGAGGGAGTATTCAGCTTTTATGGTGCATCCCCTCCAGGCATAGATTTTGGGTGGGTCGGCTTTTCCAAACATGTTTTTTCACCAGAAAAAAGGGCAAACGTTTAAGGTTGAAACTTTGTGGGCATGTGGTTCTCTGAGGATTGATTTCGGTAAAAAAAAAAGATACTTTTCGGTTGAAACGCCTTGGGGCACATATATTGCAAAAGGCGTATTTTTTCGAATTTTCTGATCCGCCAAAACAGAGGGCGCTAGACAGTTTAAACTTGGCTAAGAAGAACCTGATGAGTAAATAAAAAATTATACTTTTATTATATAGAGAGGATCGTGAGTAGCTGACTGACATAAGTAGTTATTCGCATGCTGAATTCAGAAAAAAAATCTACTTCAGTGATACATGCCGTAGGGGAACACCTTTTCGGGGAACATTTTTTCAAATAGTTGTCTTTGCTTCGATGAAACGGAGACGCGTGGAAAATTGAGATTTGGCAAGAACGTGACTGCTGACGCAATGAGCTCAGAAAAAATATCAAATTTCCAAATTTGCAATTTTTATGGGGATATTTCTTGGGGACATAAAGTTTTCAAAGAATTTTTAGTATTCTAGCGAATCGTGCAGAAATAGAAAAGTAGTGTGCTGACGCACGCATAACGGACGTGATATTGATTTAAGGAAAAATTCAACTTTTATTGTGCGTCTCCTCAGAGCACAGCTTTTTGGTGGGTCGTTTTTCCCAATACATTTTTTACCGCCAGTAAAAAATGGGAAACGTATAAGGCTGAATCTGGGTGGCATGGAATTCCCTGAGTCTAAATTTCAGAAGAAAAAAATGTTTCGTTAAAACCCATCAGGGCACATCTTTTTTCAGTCCCACTTTCATAAATTTTCTTTTCATCCAGCGAAACAGACAGAAAATGTAAGATTCCCTCAGAAGTACCTATTTGATGGCTAAGTACAGGAAAAATTCTATTAATACTTTTGGAATGTATCCCCTTAGCGTAGATTATAGGAGGGAAGTATTTCAAAATGCATTCTCCACCCTTATAAAAAGGGACACATGAAAAGATTTCAAGTTAAGCACAATAGAAATCATAGAAGTAATGATTTTGATAAAAATCAAGACTTTCGTCCCCATATGTCTCGTATTTCAATGGGGACGTGTTTGCTATTTCGCAAAGAATAAATGAATTAATCACTATCCAAGGTAATGGAGTGCCGAAGACGCGACCATAACGCTAGTAATCTAATATACGCCTAATATACAGGGTGGACCAAAAAAAAACCGCCCCAAATTTGAAGTGTAATAACTTCGGCCCCGTTGGGCCAACATCACTTTTTTTAAAGCAAAAATAAGCTTCTTCAATTTTCTTTCGGCTGATATATAATTTTTGGGTTTCCCTAGAGAGAAATAGCCGCTATTGCAGTTGAAAAAAAAAAGTTTTTTTTTAATTTCTTGAAAATGGGCTTTTACTCCAAGTTCCTTTTCCTCAACTTCGAATGTATCACTCACACGCTCACAGACAGACTCAATTTTGGGTCGTTAAAAAATGACTCAACAATTGGGTAATTAAAAAATATACCCCCTCCACGATCTACAAAAAACAGCCTGATGATACCTGCCTCACGATCGAATGATCTCTTATCAGCCAATCCGTATCATGCAGGCGCGCGTGGGAAAAGGGGGTGCGGGGGAGAAACAAGCGATAGCGGCAGGGCGACATTGGAAATAATTTTTTCGGCACTTCCTCTTAAACTTTAATCGCGGCCACATCCCGCAAAATTATACAACATTCGAAAGAAAATTAAACAAACTTCATTTTGCTTTTTTAAATATGTATATTGGCCCAACGGGGCCCAAGTTATGAAGCTTCAAATTTGAGGGCTTTTTTTTGGCAAACCCTGTATATAGACGATCGTGACTGCCTGACTGACTGACGCTTATTTTAAGCATGTTCTAATAAATTTAGAAATCGGAGACTTAGTGTAGACTCCGGACTCGGCATGCCTATATGTGTACGTGTACATACTGTATAGGCATGCCGAGTTCAGATAAAAACAAGCCGAGTTTGGAGGTACAATGCAATGGGGGCACCCAATTTGGGGGAGATATTTTCAAAGCTATATATTTCCTTCAGTCAAACGGCCTTCAACATTCATTCTACCAATATCTCGTGAACTTAAAACGCATTTTTGATAACACATTACACCAAGAAATTTTGGCAAGCCATTATCATCACGAGATTTCTGTTTGGTGAGTAGCTTACATCACAATTTTTCTTCACTACAACTTACGACATTTCAACTTAAATGGATTGCAGTAGTTGCATTTTTGGCCTAAATAACACATAACTTCTAAGTACGCATAAAACTGTTTTATCCCTTGATAAAGCATAATTTGCCTTCTTTTTAGGACTGTTTATTGTGCATATTGTTTGAGAAGTGTTCACTCACTATAGGAGGGATGAGCAAGCCAGGACTTAGCCGTGTATGTGGTTCCCAACGTCTGATCCGCGTTTCCGACATTCACGCTCATAGCGCTTGCCGAGACACTCCTTGATTGGAAGCAAAAGCACAGAAAAAGGCGTCGTATATCTGGGAGCAGCAAGGTTATTTGTCAAGCCGAACAGGAAGCATGCAATTTTCTTTTCAACTTTGCGTTCCCCTATCAACACGTCTTATGAAAAATCATATTTGACTCACAACGTAAGTTATTTCGAATTGTTTCTTTCCTGATTGAAATGTTTCTGATACAAATGACATACCTCAGTGGCACAATATATTGGACGAATCCTGCCTTCTACGCCCCATTTCAGACCGAAATCAGATCACTTTACTTTGCTCTTTGGGAATATCCCCAATGATCTACGAGTCCAATGACTAGCATTTATTGTACTTGGCATCAGTTACAGGTCCTCGACATGCCTTGAGATAGGTAACATTAAAGCCAAAGAAACTAGGATGTGAACATCTCTAAATAGAATCTAACTCACCCCTTCTTGACGCAATGAGCAGCAGTCATGACGTAAAGTTCGTCGATGATGGACCCCGTGCATTCATACAAAACTCCGGACAAAGTGATGGAGACGAACGCAAGCCAAGGCGCTTCCGCGATGGTGGCAGGGCTCCCCCCGATGATCAATCCTCCTTGTCGCTCTCCTGGTTCTGCCTCGCGCCGTCCCGATAGGAAGACCTCCAGGAACCTTTTGAACCAGCCTGTCGAGGTGGACGCACTGGGCAAATTCGAACGTCCACACGTGCCCGCATCTGGAAGGCAGGATAAGCTAACGGCAACGATTCTTTTTTGCTTTTACTCATGAGCATGAACAACACAGGAGATTATGCTTTCATGTATGTTACAAGTTGAAACGTAAAAATGGCAAGAGTAAGAGATGCCTTCCTGTAAAGCAGCTCATCAAATTGTACCAAGTATTATAATAATAAAAATTATTTTCTCCATAATGTATAACGTTGAAATATACTTTTGAAGGTAGCAGTCACGGGAACCCCAACCCTTCGCTTGACATCGTTATTGAGGAAAGTATTTCTTTCTTTACGAAACCAATTCCCGATCGAAGAGAGACGAAAGATTCAATCGCGTCACTTAACAGACGTTCATTGAAGCATGAGATAACGACTCACTGAACAGAGGAGAATCTGTTGTGTATTTGCTACAGGACGGTGGAGGAATAGTTGTAGTAGGTGCTGCTGGTGGAGATACAGTTGTCTCGGACTTCTTGCTCCATCCCTGAAGACTCTCTTCGGGTAAAGCAAGTAGAAGCGCGATGGCTGCGAAGTATCCGTTCATGATGAAGGTTCCCCTCATACTGCGCTCACGGCTTTTCCGGGAGGGATGGCGCCGGGTGTGCCACCTGCGATGCGACACGTCGCGTGGTTTCAGGATAGGAGGAATTTCTCGGGAAAGAGGATGTTGTTCTTCCCTTCTTTAAACGTGCTTGTCTAAGTCGAAAATTGAGAAGACGAGCGTGGATGACGAACGCCGTGGTCTCGTGGCATTTAATGTTTTTTCCTCATGCGATGACGAAAGAGCCCCAGCGCATCGTCAACCAGGGAATCGAAATTTCGGACGCAGGTCCAAATGCAGATCGTCCGGAGATGGATGATTGGAAATGATAATTAAATTAAATGCCAATTAAATGAAATGGCAATTAAATGAAATGGATTAATGAAAATTAATGGAAATTGGGAACAGTTCAAGTCTTCAAAGGAGGTCCTTCTTCAGATCGGCACCACTCCTTTGATTCCGATTTGGTCTCGAGATTGAAGTGGGAAGCCACGTCTCATCAACAGTGATTATACGGTCGAAAAAACTGCTCGTTTTCTTGGCTAAGTTGAAGCAGCTCTCGCCACGTTTCCATTCGATCGACCTTTTGTTCGGGCCACAACAGGCCCAATCCGGCAGAAACCTTCGTCATACCGAAATGTTCAAGGAGAGTCTCACAAGCCTTCCCCGGGTGCCGACCCCCAGGTTAGTAGCAATTTCCCGAACGGTAATTCGTCGACCGTTTGCAAGAATATTTTCCAGCAGCGGGAATTTTTTCATCGGTGGCAGCCGTTCGAGGCTATGGTCGTCCGTTTTTTAAGGTCTGCCGCCGATCCTTAAACCGCTTCTGCCTTCGGTAAACGGTACTCTTCGATTCCCCAGATTCTCCATAGACAGCCTGCTGCCTCTGAACGATCTCAGAACCGCGGGCACCTTCCCTCCATGCAAACAAAATAATCGCTCGAAGAGATTCCATGGCTCCGTGAAATACGACTCTACTTAGATGAATAACTCGGCTCAGGTGAATATTCGGACACAACAAGACCGAATTCAATAATGAACGAGGTAAGCCTTTATCTAAAACCTCTGATCAGAAAAGGATACGTTCGATTTCCTTTCGTACGCTGACGGAATTTCCAGAGGTCCAACGTCCCACGTATTAGCCGCTAGAATGCTGCTTCTTGGTTCTCGAGGAAAGTCCTCGAGGAGAGTCAAGGTATTCACGGCTTTCGATACCGCATATGCAAGATTCCATCTAGTTGCTTAGCTGCAGCTCGTGTCCCCTATGCGGCTTCTTCCTGGACGTCAATCGGGATCCTCGATTTCAAAAAGAAAATTATGTTCAGCGTTTCGAATCGGAGAAACGCATTTTTTTTCTTTTCTTCAATCATTATTTAAATCCCCCGAAAAGCACGGCCGAACATCGGGAATCAGGAAAGCTGAGCATCCGTGATTCTCTCCCCGACGCGTTCGAAAACGTGAACACGGTCACAACGGCGATACTCCGCGAGATTTCCTTTCCTCGTTCCACTTTTCCTCCCGACACTGCATATTCCAGCTTTTGCCTCCTTCGAAGGGAACGAGAGAACGCCGTTTCCCCGTGGCATCCATCCTCGCTTTGGAAGCGTCACAACTCTCAATGCGAAGCCTCTCCCAGTCCTTGCTCGCGCGAGATCGGTCCCAAGGTTTCACCTTTTTCCAATCGCCGACCTCACCCTCACCCTCACCCTGACCCCCTGCTTACGATGGGATCGATTGCGGGCTACCGATTGATCGATTGACAGCCATAAAAACATCATCTCGAAAATTGTCCCTATTTGTTAGGTGAGTTCTTCATCGAGATTCAATGTTGAGGAATGTGACCAACACAGACCTTCAAGAACATTACATTTTTCTGTTTTCTGTTCATTGGTCAGGAGACGAGAGGGTATTGCCGGTTTTCGATACCAACTATGGAATATCCCATCAGGTTTTTACCAACAGGTCATGTCCACCACGAATCGAAGGACCTTAAGGGACTTCATCCTGGACGTTAATCGAGATTCTCGATTTAAGACAAGAAGATTACATTCAACATATCGAATCGGAGAGTCTTCTTTTATCTTTTCTGCCGGCATCATTGGAATCCCCCCCCCCCCAAAAAAAAAAAAAAAAAANCCGACACAACAGTTAAACTTGGCTACAACGGGATCACTAATCTTGTCGAGGAAATCTTCCGACCTTTACTTGAAGTCATTTCGCTGGGAGATGGAGTCCTTCATCTTGAGGGTGAGTTAATATATTCCCAATCTAAATTGAATATGAAGCGGAAAGCCAAACATACCTGATTCTGTCCTCAACGTCTTCAAAGGCGTGAAGCTGGTAGCGATCGAGCCACTCCTTGCGATTTCCCTTCCTCGTTCCTCTTTCCACCTCCAGCGTGCTGGCATCGCACATTCGGGTTTCTCCTCCTCGAGGGGAACGGACTCCACTTCCCAAGGGATCCATCCTCGTCGATCCATCCATCACACGTGGCAATGCGGAGCCAAGCCAACTCGCTATAGTCGCGCCTTCGGCGTCCGATTATCTGGGATGGAAATTAATTCATTTTGGAAACAGAGAAATTTATTTAAAGTAAGTCCCTGTCGAAAAATGTGCCATGAGGAGACGTAACCGACATTTTGTTCGAAATAATTACTCCGATTATTTCTTATGTCCTTCCTGTAAATCTCTTCATATGCCCCTTCCTGTCAGAGCGGAAAATACTTTCTGAAATACTTCCCTCCCATGATCTTCCCTAAGGGGAGGTGATTTCAATTTCCTTTTCCTCTCGTAAATAGAACGTTGTTGGTCATTAGCCAGGAGTCGTTTGAGTCGTTGAGAGGATCACGAAGAAATTTTCAACTCGTCTTGCTGCATGAACACGGAGAAACGAAATTAAATTTTGAATTTCATTTCATTACGAAATTTTAAATTACGAAGAATAGCGCAAATAATTCGAAGCGCAAGAAGAAATACATATTTCTGTCAATGACGCGGTTCTCCGCTTTCTTCAGGCTGCTTAGCTAATCAAGGATCCTGGATTCATGCATTTGATTGCACAGTCCAGGAAATAGTCGACTTCGTCAAGCGTAGAGCCCGCAGATGTACGGCGACGAATTGATCCGTGAAGGAACTCGCGGACACAGTGTGAATTTGGGCGGCAGCGCACCGTCCGTTCGAAGGCTCTCCTCCATCTGGCCTCTAAGTTGGTCAACTCCCAATCGCTCTAAACCAAAACACCCAGGAAGAAAAGTTTATTTCTGATCGATCCGACGTGTTCACAGGGAGCGATTATGGACAGCGACCCACTTCGTGCAGTGTTGACAGCGCTGGTGATGAAGTCCACGTGGGCGGTGACACGAGTGTATCGATCGGGACCGACCGACGATAGGAGTCCACGCCCATGGCGTAGGCGATACCGTTCGTGTACACGACGAGAGGCCTTCCGCTGTCTCCCTGTGAGTGTGTTCCGTTAATTCATTCCGAGTCCATAGTGGAAGAATGATATCGACCGATTTAAACGTAACTTTTCTGCAATAACGTAATGAAAAATGAAATGGACACAGTGACTCACGGGGCAGGCTCCAGTTCCCGACGAGACACCCTTCGCGCAGATGACACCGATATTGGAGTCGTTCGGGCATGACTCCCTGGGAAGGACGATCGCATCCAGTTTCTGCAAGACGTTGGGCAGGACCGACGGGGTCTGGGCGATCCGATCGCATCCGAACATCTTCGTTGTGCCAGTTCCCGCATCGTACACGCTGTCGGAACTCGGGATGTAGATCGGCTGAACGAAGCGCGAGAAGGTCAGGGGCTTGCTCAGCTTCAAAATGCGATGTCGTAGCCGAGGTCGTAGTTCGCTGCAGACGACCGAAAGGGGGGCGTCGATAAGCTACGGTATGCGTGGGATGCAGATCCGATTATGCCGATTGCCTCATATGGAAAGAGTATGCTCCATTTCTATTATTACCCACACATGCTTTGTATTGGGTTGGAAAGAAAGTCTGACAACACTGCGCAAAATTTTCAAAATTTTATAACTTTATTGAAATGCAATTTCAGT